CCCTACAGGAGGAAAGTACAGGAGCAGAAACTGCTGGTGGTGGACACCGGAGGTAAGGGAAGTCGTTAAGCTTAAGAAGGAGTCCTACCAAGCCTGGTTGGTTCGTGGGACTCCTGAGGCAGCCGACAGGTACAGACAGGTACAGACAGCCCAAGCGGACTGTGGCTCAGGTAGTCGCGGAAGCAAAAACTCGGGTCTGGGAAAAGTTCAGGGAGGCCATGGAGGAAGACTACCGGTCTGCCTCGAAAAAATTCTGGCAAACCATCCGGCGCCTCAGGAAGGGAAAGCAGTTTGGGGGTGTGGGGAGCTGTTGACCTCGACTGAGGATGTCGTTGGGAGGTGGAAGGAATATTTTGAGGATCTCCTCAATCCCACTGACACGCCTTCCGCGGAGGGAGCTGAGGCTGAGGACTCAGCAGCTGATCCTCCAATCTCCTGCGCTGAGGTCACCGAGGCAGTCAAAAAGCTGCTCGGTGGAAAGGCGCCGGGGGTGGATGAGATCCGCCCTGAGTACCTCAAATCTCTGGATGTTGTGGGGCTGTCTTGGTTGACACGTCTCTGCAGCATTGTGTGGCAGTCCGGGACAGTACCTCTGGACTGGCAGACTGGGATGGTGGTGCCTCTTTTCAAAAAGGGGACCGGAGGGTGTGTCCCAACTATCGGGGGATCACACTCCTCAGCCTCCCGGGAAAAGTCTATTCCAGGGTACTGGAGAGGAGAATCTGGCCGATAGTCGAACCTCGGATTCAAGAGGAACAATGCGGTTTTCGTCCTGGCCGTGGAACACTGGACCAGCTCTATACCCTCCACAGGGTGCTTGAGGGTTCATGGGAGTTTGCTCAACCTGTCCACATGTGTTTTGTGGACTTGGAAAAGGCTTTCGTGTCCCTCGTGGTATTCTGTGGGGGATGCTCCGAGAGTATGGAGTTGGGGGCCCTCTTCTAAGGGCTGTCCGGTCCCTGTACGATCGGAGTAGGGGCTTGGTTCGCATTGCCGGCAGTAAGTCGGACCTGTTCCCGGTGCATGTTGGACTGGGGCTGCCCTTTGTCACCGGTTCTGTTCATTATCACCGGATTTCATCTCTGGTTTTTGCGGATGATGTGGTCTTGTTGGCCTCTTTGAACCAGGACCTGCAGCATGCACTGGGGCGGTTTGCAGTAGAGTGTAAAGCAGCTGGGATGAGAATTAGCACCTCTAAGTCCGAGGCCATGGTTCTCGACCGGAAAAAGGTGGTTTGCACCCTCCGGGTTGGGGACGAAGTCCTGCCTCAGGTGGAGGACTTTAAGTATCTTGGGGTCTTGTTCAGGAGTGAGGGCAGGATGGAACGTGAGATTGACAGGCGGATCAGTGCAGCGGCCGCAGTAATGCGTTCGCTGTGTCGGTCTGTTATGGTGAAGAAGGAGCTGAGCCGAAAGGTGAAGCTCTCGATTTACCGGTCAATCTACGTTCCTACCCTCACCTATGGTCATGAGCTCTGGGTCATGACCGAAAAAACAAGATCCCGGATACAAGCGACTGAAATGAGCTTTCTCCGCAGGGTAGCAGAGCGCTCCCTTAGAGATAGGGTGAGGACCTCTGTCACACGAGAGGAGCTCGAAGTAGAGCCGCTGCTCCTCCACATCGAGAGGAGTCAGCTGAGGTGGCTTGGGCATTTACATCGCATGCCCCCCGGACGACTCCCTCGGGAGGTGCTCAGGTCCTGTCCCTCTGGGAGGAGACCTAGGGGAAGACCTAGGACACGATGGAGCGACTACGTCGCTCGGCTGGCCTGGGAACGCCTTGGGTTCCACCCAGAAGAGCTGGAGGAAGTGTCTGTGGAGAGGGAAGTCTGGGTGACCCTGCTCAGACTGTTGCCCCGGCCCCGGATAAGCGGTTGATGATGGATGGATGGATGGATGGATAATATATTAAAATACTATATATTATAATATTTTGTAACTCTACTCCACACTTATTTCACTCAGTTCCAGAGTGTGCTCTTTGGCCCAGCTCTCACTGTTGTCTCCTTTGGCTAAAATTATATATAAATATGAAATATATATAAAATGATATGGTCACCACATATAGAAACTTTACTGAAGAACTTCTGCTGCTCAGTGATGCAAAGTTTTCTGGATGGAGATTCCAGGATAAACACCTAGATCCATTTAGGTGGAAATCAATTTCCTCACTGTCGCTGTTAACAGGGTGATTACAAAGCAGCCTCAAATTCTACCTGACAGCTGTGTACAATATACTAACAGCTTTGATGTAGAGCAGCTGTAATAATAGTCAAGGCTACGGGAGGGAAGCAGGGAGAGAGGGAGAGAGAGAAAAACAGTGGCGGTAAACAACTGCGTCCACCTTAGGCCTTTTGCCAACTTCTGCATCACACTGCATAAATCTTTTTTTACCACCACCATTATTATGTGGAGCTGAGGGTTTTAAGGGACACCACTGTGGAGAACAAATCTGAGAATACTTGGTCAAACACAGTACAAGGTCAAAGCTAAAGGCACTGAAAACTTCAAACTTCCATTGGCTAAACACTGTTTAGATATCAGGTATCAGATACAACCAGCAACTATTTTCTAGCCATGGAAGTGATTACAAAACAGTAAATTGTGATAAAAAAAGTGATGATTTCCATGAGAAGTTCCATCCCTGCAGGATCTCTGCAGAGTTCCCCACTCTGACAGAATACGATTTATTTTTCTCCTCACAATCAATTTTCCTGTATTTTGGTAATGTAATCTGAAGCAGAAAAATGGCCTCAATGTGACAGGAGAGAGTTCAGAGGGATTGTTAATCAAATGGTAAAATATGTTGTGCCTGCGTTGTCTGACAAAAGCTTGTGGAACATAATAACAAACACACCAACAAAAAAGAAGCTCAGGAAAGAATGATGAGCTGTGATGCTCCAGTTTCTGCAACCTGAGTGTCATCACACTTCATAGTGATCCCTGTGGTTTTGGCCAGAACCATAAAAGCTTCAGAAGATCACCGACAAGAGAGTGAGAGTGCTGGGGGGAGAAAAAAAAACAAGAAACTTTTGATAATAGAGGCAGAGATAGGAAATAGTGAGAACCATGGAGAATAATTAAAGTTGTGTTAACATAACAGGATGGATAAGATAACAAATATAGCAGTGGAGAAATGTAAAGGAAAGGTGGGTAGGTAGAGCAAAACAACAAAGACAGGGCACCTGCAGAAACAGAACAAGGCAGAAATAAATATCCCTTAACAAGAGAAAAAAAGAAGGAAAAAAATCTTACAATGGAAGTAGAAAAAGTAAGAAGTAAAATATAGGCTGAACAAAAGTATAGGCCAATATTACCATTACAGAACCCTACACAGGACCACACTACTCTACAAGGCTATGGTTCAATGACCAGTCTTTTGGTATGGATTTGTAACTGTTGACTGACAGGCCACACACTCACAGCTGTCACACACGGTGTGTTTATTTTTTATTGTTTTTGTATTTGTCACGATCCCATCATTAAAACCACCAGCACCTTCAGCCCCTCACTGTTCACTGGTCAGCAGAAATACAGTGGTGTTTGTCCATCACACACCCATTAAAAGGGAGTGCTGTGAGTGTGACACAGGTGTGGTCTAATGGCTCTGTTTCCTGTGTGATAACTGACACCATTCACTACAGTGTTGGCAAAAAAGATAGATAGAAATCTGACATAGAGACTTACATTGTCTGTTCTGAGCTTCTTGGCGGGACAGCCTCCATCCACTGGATGGAGCATATAGTACAGACGCACTTTGTTGGCGTGTTTCCGACTCTGGAGAAAAAGGGAAACAGATAGAAGTCAGTTTAACATTGTTGACATTTTGTTTTCTTATTTTTGAAACAATTAAACTTGACTACTTGTCGCCTTTTCTTTTTATTCCAGTTTAGCCTATTTTTGACCAAAACTAAGCTAATATTCATCTCTCTACCACTACTACTTTCCTACAGCTTTTTCTAGGCAAATCTTCTTTTATTAATATTTTTTTGGCCATTCTCTGATTTTTGTTTAGCTTGGAGTTCTCTATGTGCTTGATATTTTAATTTTACTTTCTTTTCCACATTTATCTTGTTGGGTAAACTTTGACATATTTTTTAAATTGTCTTTAGCCATTTCATTGCTAAGTGCTAACTGTTGCTCTTTTACTGTAAGTTTCTCACCTTTGGTCACATTTTTAACCAGTGTTCCACCAAATGACCTTGACCATTTCAAACCAAGGCTACGAAAGAGCAATTAGGTTTTTATTTGGCTGGGGAAAAAAGTAAAAGTAAAAGTGACCCCTTTTCATTGAACCTTTATGGATTTTTCAGATTACTTGGGCAGTGGGCCAGGAGAAACAATCTTGTCAACCACATAACTGTTTGAGCCAAATTTGCTCTTGAGATATTAGTGTAGGGCCAGACAGAAGGAGGACCTGAAAACAAGACACCTGAGGACACAGGCGGAGGATTTCAAGGTAATAGATAGGATTACAGTCATCTTCTGAGTGTCACTTCAATGTTATTGTGGATAGAGGCAAAGATGCGGAAAATTAGACAAAAGTAAAAGAGTTTAAAGTGTTACTTTTTATGCTGTTTTCCAGATTGACCTAATAATTCCATGTCATCTTTTGTATCAAAGGAAAGTCACAGCTTCTCTTTATTCATTCAGAAAGTTAAAAGTGTCCTGTTAGTGTGAAATAACAGCTTACAGACCTCACCAACTAATCTGCCAAGTGAGGATACTTTCTCCGAAGGACAATGGTTTGACCAGACGGTTTATGTCTCCCTCTTGTCTCATCCTGTTAGTCTAAATGTGAACTGGAATTTAATCACAATCTGTAAAAGGCAGAAATGAGCTGAAGGCTGACTGGACTGTCTAGACTTTTCTAGTCTTTGTTGTAAAATTGAAAATAGTTACAAAACAAAATGTAAATTGGTTGGATGAAAACATTCCAAATTAAATACCCACAGATAATTGTCTTCTAAGGCAAAAGTGTCTAAACAATCTCTCCAGTCTGAGTCAGTCGACCTCTTTGTGTTCAACCATAAAGAGTGGAAAAACCTACAAAGGTGTGAGGAGCAATTCACTCCTATTCATTTTACTAGGCCCAAAAACCACAGTGTTAACAGAGCTCCACAAACTACAAAATAAAATGATTTCTCTCTTTTTCTTTTTTCGATTTTTGAAGAACACAAGTTATACCAACACACACCAACAACAGCACTCAGGAGACTCTCTTCTAGGTGCAGTCAACTTTGTAGTTTGTGGAGCTGTGTTTAACTATTTATAAAGTTTAACCTAAATCCAACAAGAACTAACTGGAACAGGGTCGGGCAGGAACAACAGCAAATCAAAAATAAACCAGGAACTTGGAGCAAGGTACACAAGAACATCACAACAATCCCACAATAACAGAGGAGTGAGGGAGAGAGGTACAGTATATACTGTATATATACCCAGGGCACCAGGTGACTGGAGTGAGACTGATGAGACATTTATGAAATTCCTACTTTCCTAATTAAATTAATTTGACCACCGTAATTTAAATATATAATTTTGCATTTTTTTTTAGTTTTTTAATGGAAAACTGATAATTGCCAATTTTCAGTTAATGATTTCGTTAATGAGTGATTACCACAGCCACAGCAAAATGCATGGTTTGTCCTGTCATCCTACCACCTCTTTTTTGTACTACTTTCTTGAATTTTCAACTATCTTTGTCTTCTATTTGTTTATTCTAAAACTTTACTTTTTTTTTTACAGAAACATTGTTATCTTGTGGTATTGTTCCACTGAGCTGTTCTTCATGTTTGTGTCTCAGTGTTGGACCACAAACAGTTAATTTCATTAACCTTTAAACCACAGAGTTTCCTTTCAACATGACTGTGGCTGAAAATAACTGAATAAAAGAAGACCATAAAATACATCAGAGACTGAAGAGACCAGTAAGAGTGTAGGAATATTTAGATGTTTGCACATAGTTATGTTAGATGTCCCTGCTGCTGAATTATGTTGTTTTGTATTCTTCAAATATGTGAATAACTTTAGTGTAATGTGTCCAAAAGGAGACAAAACATGCAAAACATTCAGAGAAAAGAACAAATGCACATCTGTCCACATATTTGACCAGATACGCACACTGTTCAAAGACCGGGTATGACACATTTATCTCCAGAACAGGAAACCATATTTATCATAAAATGATCTCAAAACAGTTTCAAGTGACATTTTGATGAAAGCACTGCCATTCAGGTGTAGGAGTGTGTGTTTGTTTTTATCAGAGCTCAGTTTCCTCCCAGTCCGTCCCCTGTTGCTTCCTCTTTCTGTTCTTTACCAAATGTTAAGTTTGCTATATTGCACACATTTTTCAAAGACAAACAGAACAGTGTAATAAAAAAGAGTCTTGTGTGCAGGCTAAAAATAGGGAGCCTGTATTAGATGTTTTGATTCCGTGTGTCTCAGAGCATTAATCAATACTTCAAAATCACTGTTTATGTTTTGAGGGTGGAAAACTGAAGAGCTGAGCTGACATTGACATTGACATTTTCTTCGATTGTGACCAGGACAGAGAAACAGCTATGGTTGAATACTTTGAAGATAAAGTTAGAGAAGTGATCCCTGGTAATCTGGTCTGCACATGTGCTAAAACTAGTAAGTGGAGATAGTAGATAACAGATAATGTTCAGGCCCCAAGTCTAGAGGACAGAAAAAACAAACTTGCACCTACTACAACTTTTCTCTTTTTACAGTGTCAGCTCATAGCCAATATACTGTGTATGTGTACATAATGTCAATGTAATTACCTGCACATGATTGACATACTGCTTATAATCATCACCTATAAATGTCCTTATGAGATGATCCTGCATCATTTACTTTCATCTCTACCTGCAGAGGGGGGCTGTCATTTTATCTCCATCCCATTAATGATGTTGGCAGCTTTTTCTTCTTTCTCAGTGTGAGAGTCTGGTTTACTGCTGCTACTGATGTCCACTCATATCAGCCTCTACCATGGAAACATAAACTCTTGCAATTTGATTTCTTTATCCTGTGGTGTGGAAATAGTGCACATAATAAATAAATAAATAAATAGATAAATAAATAAATAAATAAGTCTCCATTACAGGCATGGTTTAGGCTCACTGCCACTCATCTCTCACCACAGAGTGATGTGTCAATCAGACTCTGGGACACGTCAATTACTTCCTGAGTGGCATGTCAATGTAGAAATGCTGATTGTTTCTATGCAGATGACATGATGATGGTCAGACCTTTTAACGTCCTGACACTTCTCTCCGAGTGCAAAACTTTTAAGGTCACTGGTGAGGTACTTTTTGGTAAGTCTGGGTATTCTATAGCGTATTCTAAATGTATAGCATCTAGACTATCAAAAAATATATACAGTTATTGTTTAAAATAGATTCACTTTGTGTAAGGCAAAATATATTTTTATATTTATCATTTTACTATCATTTTCAATGACTCCACATTCATTACAGGTCAGAAACTCATCACAAATGAGTATTTGAGAAAGTTGGAGCAACCTTTAGGATTCAACAACCAGTGACCTGTTAAAGGTGATGGCAACCGATAAATTATGTCTTCTAATTGGCTGGGTGTGTGGAGATGAGCATGTCTCTGCTGGTCACTCAAGATAAGAGCTAATGAGAGGAGGCATTTCCTAGTCTTTAAAATCAATACCTTCTCTTATTGATGTGTATTCCACTCATGCATTGATGCTTTTTATTAACTTGTTTCAAAGTTAATCATGTTTTTGGCTTTAATGATGTTGTTCTGTTTTTTGGCTGCAAAGTAGAGCAAACAAATGTCTGCCATGATTTCTAATGATGATGATTAAAGCTTCACTCGACGACTTTGCCTAAAAGCATCATGAGTCAGTGGTAATTCGGAAACAGAGCTTTAACGACCCATGACAGTCATTTGTATTTCCAACAAAATAGCTCAATCTGAGTTGAACATTGATTTTCTGTTGGCATTCGGTGTTTATCCATGTAAAATTGTGGAGAAAAAAAAGTGAAAAGCTCCTGGGAGTTTGTATTGACTCTAAGATGAACTGCCACGGTGCATTCCTGAGGAACCACATACTCAAAAGAGATGACTAATGATCCAGAATCAGGGGCCATAAAGTGTAGTGAACGGTAGTGAAATACAACAAAACACCTCAGAGCGGGAGAAGAACTCACTGACCTCACATCTAACTTTTTCCTTATATCTTTGTTTAGGGGAAAGTACAAGAATAAACAGGAACAAAAGTCTGATCAGTATTAGTTTATTATAGTTGTTAGTTCTTTGATCCTAAGACCTGTACATAAAATCCTTCAATCTTGAAACAGCAAGCCCCAGAAATACACTATTTTTTTTCTGCTACTTCTTTCCCCACTGACAAATGTACACTATATTACCAAAAGTATTCGCTCACCCATTCAAATGATCAGAATCAGGTGTCCTAATCCCTTGGCCTGGCCACAAGTGTATAAAGTGCAAAGAGGTCGCCGACTTTCTGCACAGTCAATTGCTACAGAGCTACAAACTTCATGTGACCTTCAGATTAGCCCAAGTACAGTACGCAGAGAGCTTCATGGAATGGGTTTCCATGGCCGAGCAGCTGCAGCCAAGCCACGCATCACCAAGTGCAATGCAAAGCGTCGGATGCAATGGTGTAAAGCACTACTGGCCACTGGCCTCTAGAGCAGTGGAGACGCGTTCTCTGGAGTGATGAATCACGCTTTTCCGTCTGGCAATCTGATGGACGAGTCTGGGTTTGGAGGTTG